TACATTTCCCGAGATTTATATGCTTCAGGCATTTTAAGTCCTTCCAGAACTTTCATATAAATTTCATTATCAAGTGAACCGTAAAGGTAAGCTGTAACCACATCCATTAGATGAATTTCAAGATTTTCATGTACAGCTAAGCCGATGAGATATCGAAAAGTTATTGCATCCATAACAGGTGAATATGTTTCTTCATAGTCGACACCGGGTCGTTGAGAGAATCTTTGTGCAACAAGGCGTGCCTTGTATCTTAAAATCTCATTTTTATCATTTCTTTTTCGTACAAAGACCCATTTATAGCCAATTGAATTAACATTACTAGGCGTTTGGACTACTGGTCCAAAAACCTCACGCTTAGCAAGTGAATTTAATTCTGATTGAATTGCTTCTTGCCATTTTGGCCAATCACATCTTTGTCGACATTCTTCGATAGATAGAGGTTCAAGATCCTCATTTCCTTTCATAATGTTAAGTGCAACATCATATGCGAAAACATTATCCACTATGATTTTTGATCTATCTAAACTTATCTCATCACCTGTAGAACTTATTGAGAGTTCTTCATTTACTTGAGTCTCGGGTTCACTAATCTCTTCAGGAATATCAGGATTAATCAGATCTTGAATTTCTTCGTGAGATTCTTTTGTAGTGTCATTTTTTGTACTTCTTTTTCTAGGACTTTTATCTTTTGAACCCAATGGTCTACCACGCTTCAGGCGTATTTGTGATTCAGAAGCTATGACACTTGTAGATGGTCCTTTTGGGACGTCGATTCGGATATGCACATTAATTGCAAGAATATGCGACTTTATTATCCTTTTTGAATCAGTAAATGCGTCTGGCATTTGATTTGTTATGTTTTGCAAATGGATGATCTTCTAGACCTCTTGCTCACACACAGAGGGAGCGTGGATCAAAATGAGATAATGATGAAACTTTCCATGCAATTTCACTTTTAAGTTTCTTTTTCTCTCCCCCTAATTGCGGAAAATTTGTTTCATCAAATCGACAATTTGCAAATCTTGCAGTGAATAAATCTCCCGTCAATGGCTCAAGGTAGCGAATTATGGAGGGTGAATCAAATCCAACATATATGCCTAACCTTCTTTGAGGGCCCATCTTGGTGCACTGAGGTGGTGCTACAGGCATATATGCAGCACATCCAAAAATTCGAAGATGAGCAATATTTGGTTCATGACCAAACACTAATTGTGATGGGGAGTATTTATTATAATGAGTCGGTATGAGACGAACAAGTGATGTTGTATGTAAGATAGCATGACCCCAAACAGTAGTAGGCAACTCACTTTTCATAAGTAGAGGTCTTGCTATCAATTGTAAGCGCTTAATAAATGACTCAGCAAGGTCATTTTGAGTATGAACACGAGCTACAGGATGTTCAACTTTTATCCCTACCGATACGCAATAATCATCAAAAGCTTGGGATGAAAATTCGCCAGCATTATCGAGGCGAATTGTCTTAATGGGATAACCTGGAAATTACGCTCTTAATCGTATTATTTGCACCAATAATTTTGCAAACGCCAGGTTGCGAGATGATAAGGGAACACATGAGACCATCTTGAAGATGCGTCTATTAGGACCATAAAATATCTAAACGACCCACTATATGGGTGAATAGGTCCACAAATATCCCCATGTATTCATTCTAAAAATTGAGGGGATTCAATGTTAACCTTCATTGGTGATGACCTAGTAATCAATTTGCCTTTGCAACAAGCAGCACATGAAAACTCATCATTTGTAAGAATCTCCAGGTTCTTTAATGGATGTCCATTTGAGTTTTCAATGATTCGTCTTATCATTATTGATCTAGGATGACCTATTCAGTCATGCCAAAGCACAAAAGTCTTTAAGTCAGTAAACTTCTGGTTTACGATAGAGTGTGCTTCAATCGTACTTATTTTTGCATAATATAGGCCAGAAGATAAAGTTGATAATTTCTCCAACATATTTCTGGTCTGAGACAATCTTGGTAATACCAAGGTATTCAACATTCATTTCATTTAATGTCTCAACATGATATCCATTTCGGCGAATATCTTTAAAACTTAACAGGTTTCTTGGGGATTTAGAAGAGAACAAAGCATCTTCTATGACGAGTTTTATCCCCTTAGGTAGAAATATAGTAGCTCTTCCGGAGCCTTCTATTAAGTTTGAATTACCAGAAATTGTAGTAACATTTGCTTTTCTTCTAAGCAAGTAGGAGAAGTATTTCTCATCTTTGAATATGGCGTGCGTTGTTCCACTATCAATTACACAAATATCTTCATGATTGATCATTGAGGTATCCATATACTTTTCAAGATAAAAGATATAAACGAAATAAACATTATAATATTTACATTATCACAGATCCATCACCTATCAGGTGATCTATCTTTCCTTCGGGATTTTCAAAGAAATCCGCTACATCTAGATGCATGGGTTCAACAGTATCTTTTGAGATAAAGTTGGATTATTTTTCACCTCCTTCAAGGAAGCTTGATATAGCTCAACCAGGTGCCTTGGTGTACGACAGGTACGTGACCAATGTCCTTTTCCTCCACATCGATAACATTTGTTGTCTGAATTTTTCTTCTGCACTACATCATGTTTTTCATTCTTCTTTTTACACTGCTGGTGTTAAAGGTTATTATTTAGTGCAAGCCGATCACCATGATTGAAATTTCTTCCTCGACCACGACCACGGCCACGACTGGGGCCACGACCTTTTTCACGCCTAGATTGGTGAATATTTGCCGTATTTACTTCAGGAAATGGCATAAAACCAGTAGGTCGACTTTCATGGTTTTTCATCAGTAAATCATTATGTTGTTCAGCAACAAGGAGATGTGAAATTAATTCGGAATATTTTTTAAATCCTATTTCTCGATATTGCTGCTGTAGAAGCATATTCGAGGCAGGAAAAGTGGAAAAAGTTTTCTCCAGCATATCATGGTCAGTGATATTTTCTCCACATAATTTTAATTGTGAGATAATTTTAAACACGGAAGAGTTATACTCAGTGATAGATTTAAAATCTTGAAGTCTCAAGTGGATCCTGTCATAACGTGTCTATGGAAGGACGACCAACTTCAGGTGGTCATATCTATCTTTTAAATTGTTCCACAATACCAGAGGATCCTTAACAGTGAGATATTCCATTTCCAAACCTTCATCAAGGTGATGACGGAGAAATATCATCGCCTTGATACGGTTTTGATTCGATGCTTGATTATTTTTTTGGATGGTGTCTGCTAGACCCATCGCATCAAGATGAATTTCTGCATCGAGTACCCATAATAGATAGCTTTTTCCCGATATGTCTAGAGCAAGAAATTCAAGTTTAGAGAGATTAGATATTATTAAGAAAAGGAAATTTATACCTCCGAGGCTTTTAAAGTCTTTACTTGTACTGGCAGAGACTCATCCTGATAACGTGTTATAAAAGAACTTACTAAAATTAATATACTAAAAGAAGGAAAATTTAGGAAGTAATATATTTCATAAAATTGTATATAATGGTTATTTATAGCCATAAGTATATGTATCACTTTGGCCATTATTGGCCAAGTGATGTACATCTTTGGCTTATTATTGGCCAAGTGATGAGTTGCACAAGTGATGCAATTCATCCACTGTTTGGGGCCCACGTGGCTTATATTTTACAACAAGAGGGACATTATTTGTATTTGCTAAAATTATTGAAAGAGCTAGTAACGGCTCCACCATTTAAATTATTTTGCCCACATCTTTTGCATAAATTTGGCGAAAGAATAAATATCCAATAAATAAATATTTCAATTATTTTAATCTATGTGAACATGTGTGATAAGAACAAAGTTTTTGAGAAAAAAAAAAGACTTTTGACAATTTTTTATATAAAATAAGTCATAAGTTTTTATGAATATAAATATTGAAAATAAAATAAAATAATTACTAAAATATAAATAAGATATCGTTCTTTTTGGAGTTGATAAAAAAATATTAAGTAAGTTGTGAATAAATCTAAAATAATATTAAAAAGAATTTTTAACGGGTCCATACATGTTGTGTCAATTTTGTTTAGATATTTTTTATCGGTTTCAACCATAAAAAGTTAGTATGATATTTCACTTAGACATCTTAATTAGATAATGTTTCAAAAACTAATGTAGCGACTTGTTGTGATATTTTGATAATTTTTGTTTATCTGACATAATGAGTGTGATATACTCTTTGATCAACGAGTGAAATAGCTTTTAGTTAATTTTTCATTATTTTTTCTTTTTCTTTGTCCTACTTTTTAGCCACCATTTTATCCAAATTAAATTTCATCCATTTGACAAAAAATGAAAAATATTTTTAAAATCTAAAAATAAATTCACTTACAAAATTTTTCTTAAAAGAATTTAATATTAATTTCTTTAAACAAGCTAAAAAATTTATTTGAGATACTAATGGCGTGCAGATGTGGGGTGGGGCAGTTTCTACAAGTGGTGAGCGTAGGGTACTTCCGATGCAGGGTTTGAGGCTATTTGGAGGTTGGGTTTTGGGGACCGTAGATAAGATGATTTTGTGTGTGGTGGGTGGGGAAGGGGGGAGGAGACAACTAGGGGTGGGTTAAAATCTTTTATTTATTTGTTTTTAACATTATTTGAATAAAAAATATTATGTGTTATTGTTAAAGAATGACAAAAGTCTGATATTGGTGATTAATGAGATGGGTGGACTCTTTATAAGGCTTGATCAATCTTCCTCCCTTTGAGCTAGCTTTTGGGGTGTGAAGTAAGCTTAAGACCTAATTTCACATGGTATCAGAGCAGGGCCCGTCTCACCTGATGTTGCCTCCCCCCCCCCCCCAAAATTAAAATTGCTCACGCACCAGATGCTAAGCACTGGGTATGAGGTGACAAAAGTCCCACATCGGTGATTAATGAGATGGGTGGACTCTTTATAAGACTTGAACAATCCTCCTCCCTTTGAGCTAGCTTTTGAGGTGTGAGTTAGGCCTAAGACATAATTTTTACAGTTATTAATTCATTGGTTAGTTTTTATTTTTATTTAAAAAGAATTAATTAATAACTTCTTTTTATACAAATGACATATGACATTATTTAATTCGTCACTTTACACATCATTCGCGAGAATAACATACATACCTTATGTATTTTTGTTGATATTAAAAAAAGTGTTAATATGACACAACAAAACTCTACATCATATGTCTAAAATGAACATCGTATAATTAAAGTTTCTAAGTGAATTATCGTGCCAACTTTAGAGGGTCACCGATGGATTAGTCATTTTTATATTTATGAGTAATACCATATTGAATTACCAAATTAATTTAGTATGACCTGGTATTTTTCATGAAACTTCTCGAATATCATCTTACTTGCTTAAACATTTTGAAATATTTAAAAGTGGACGAGTGATTAGATATTAATCCACTCATTTGACACATCTAATCACACTTGTATTTTTTTCTATTCTTAACATAATCACACCAAATTTTTATTCAAGCACCAAGCTAATTTCAGCATGAAAAAAGGAAGAAAAAAAAGACAAACTGAATAAGGAAATTATAATATAGTTGAGAAAATATATATCTTAGGGAAGATAAAAAGAGTTCAAACACATGAGGGAAACAAGGAACAAATGATGAAGCATGGAAACAAAATTAACAATCCACAAGCGCAATCTCCACACATCCAATGGCGAGACCTTCGCCCCCTTTCCTTGGGACCAAAGTCACCACAATTTTATCTTCTTTTTCCAAGCCATTTTCCTTCAACAGTTCTGTTATTGCCAGCTGTAAAGTAGCAGTGGAAACATAATCATCATCACCAGGTTTATGAGTATGCGGCAAGCTAGTATAGCTTTCCGCATACTCTGTCTGGTTAAGATCCTCTGGTTTCACATTCTTATCCGCGTTTAGATACACATCGAACCTTATATACTCTCTGCTATCATATTTTATGTAGCTGAAAGTTAAAATCTCCTCTTTATTATCTTTCTCCACTTGAGTCCTCAATGAAGCCGGTCTATCCAAGGAAAATGATGTGTTTACATCTAGTTTGAAAATTGGGAATATTTTGCTTGCTGGTGGAACTGAACTTGTGTCTAGTTTCCCAGATGAATAATTTTTGTTTGGCTTGAAGTCACGCCATGGAGTGGGGCTTTTTACGTAGTCGTATCCCATCTTCTTCGTGTCCAAACAGTCTCCGACTTTCACAAGGTAAGGTTTTTTATTTTCATCATAGAAAAAGAACTCTGAATTCATCAAATCTGGTTCTGTAACTAGATCTGTTCTTTTCCCTCCTAGTGTTTTCCATTCGTTCCACATTCGGTCCACATTGCCGTGATGGCAATAGAAAACCGGGTCTAAACCAGCTGAGTAGAAATTACCCATATCCTCACCGTATTTTGGTTTACCTTTAGGCGCATTTACATCTCGTACTGTACCAGTCCAAATGTGGACTGGTATGTGAGGGATTTTTTCAATGGTTCCCGGGGCTTCAATGTTAGTCCCGAGAACGTAACGTCCACCGAAGAACAAGAGAGGACACGGAGCATTAGATACCATTTGATGGTACATAAGAATTAAGTTATTCGTCTGCAACAAGAGTTGAGTTGTATCAACTGTGTCTCCAAAAGTACCGAGATCCATAACCGTTCCATTACGGACTTGTGGATTACGCCTTTCATCGTAAAGGGAAGTCCCTTCACGATCGAACATGGGAGGTAAACGCATGCCTTTTGGATTATCCCAATTCCAATAGGGTAAAGCAAAAGTTGGATGATCAATCAGTTTACCCAATATTCTTTCGTAAAAGTATAAGTACCATCTATGGAACGGGAAGAAAAGCCATGAGTTATGAACTTGTAACTCTTTGCCTCCAATGTTATAAGCACCGTTACAATAAGCACAATGTTATGCAGAATTTGAGATAATACGAGAAAATATAAACGCGAAAAATAAGACAACAGATTTACGTGGTTCACGAATAAATTGGCTACGTCCACGGGAAGAAGGGGAGCAGTTTTATTATGGAGAGGCAAGAACATAATACAGAATAGGGTTTACCATAGCGTCTATATATAGTGATAAGCTACGCCCTAACAGGCTTGGGCCCAAAATACAGATTGACAGATAATTAAGGGCCCAATACAACAACATTGACCCCCGTGCTGTAACGGATCCGATTCAAGGCATTCAACAAATCTCCACCTTGACTTGAATTCTCCAAACAGATTCTTCAGACGCACTATGATAGTGCCAGGCCTCCCCCTCTTCCTCAGAATTTCCCCGCAGGGCAATTAACAACTTCTAATGTTGAGCAAGTCCAAACAATGTTGAAACTTGCTTTGTGAAACCGGCTTTGTGAACATATCAGCAGGATTATCAGCAGTTCCTACTTTCTTCACCTTGATTCTCTTATCACTTCTCAGAAAATGATACCTCACGTCAATATGCTTGGTTCTCTCATGATGGACTTGATCCTTGGCTAGACAAATTGCGCTCAAACTGTCACAATACACCAATAGCCTGATCATGATGCAGACCAAGATCACTAACCATCCCTTTCATCCAAATCCCTTCTTTTGCAGCCTCTGTCAAGGCCATGTACTCCACTTCCGTAGTAGACAAAGTCACTGTAGGTTGCAAAGTTGCCTTCCAACTGACGACAGATCCTCCAAGGGTAAACACATAGCCAGTCATCGATCTTCTTGTGTCAACATCTCCAGCATAGTCAGAATCAGAATAGCCAGTAACCGAGCACTGAGTATCACCTCCATAAATGAGACCAACGTCAGATGTACCTCTAAGGTACCGGAAAATTCTCTTCACAGCCTGCCAATGTTCTCTCCCTGGTTGTCCCATGAATCTCTCACTACACTGACTGCATGTGCTAAATCTGGCCTTATACAGACCATAGCATACATCAAACTTCCTACGGCACTGGCATAAGGGACTCGTGACATATACTCCTTCTCTTCTTCTGACTGTGGAGCGAACATGGCAGTGAGATGGATATTGGCAGCACTGGGGGTATCAATAGGCTTAGATGAAGACATGCCAAACCTCGCCAAGACCTTCTGAGTGTAGCTTCTCTGTGACAAGAAAAGTTTCCTTCTCTCTCTGTCTCTAATGATCTCCATCCCTAGAATCTTCCGAGCGGCTCCCAGATCCTTCATCTCAAACTCAGCACTAAGTAAACCCTTCAGCTTCTGAATGTCATACTTCTTCTTTGCAGCTTATCAACATATCATCTACATAAAGCACCAGATAGATGAATGAATCATCCTTAAGCCTATTGTAGTAGACACAACAATCATATGAGCTACGAGTATAGCCCAACTTCACCATATAGCTGTCAAACCTTTTGTACCACTGCCTTGGAGACTGCTTATGTCCATACAAGGACTTCTTCAACTTGCAGACGTGATTTTCCTTCCCCGGAACTTGGAAACCATCCAGCTGAGTCATGTATATCTCTTCCTTTAACTCTCCATATAGAAACGCTGTCTTCACATCAAGTTGTTCAAGCTCCAGATTCTGATGTGTAACTATCGCTAGTAACACTCGGATGGAAGTATGTCTGTCTGACCACTGGTGAGAAGATCTCATTGTAGTCCACTCCCTCTCTTTGGTTGAAACCTCTGGCAACAACCCTGCTTTATATTTGACTCCTTCTGCTGGTGATATCCCTTCCTTCTTCTTGAAAACCCATTTGCAAGTAATAATCTTTCTCCCGAAGGCTGTATGACCAGATCCCATGTCTGATTCTTGTGTAGGGACTCCATCTCATCTACCATAGCAGCAAACCATTTTTGAGAATCAGGACTTAAAATGGCTTCTTTGTAAGTAGACGGCTCAGATGTATCTACCTCTTCAGCGAGACCCCCGTTCTTTCTGCTGTAACGGGTCCGATTCAAGGCATTCAACACACAATGTATATTAGCTTGTTGCTTAAACCCAAGAGGTTTATCAGGTTCCGTCTTATCAAGAGCTTTCATTCGACTAATTGCCAAATTGTACTTGGCAATATACTCCTCATCAACAAGATGAGCAGGGGAACGCATACGGAGCTTGTTCATAGGAGGGAACTCATAAAATGGAATGGTGCTCGTATCTTTGGGGAGAGGAGGAGGGCAACAAGTATATTTAACTGCTGGACCACCAGTTATAGTGGTTGTACTACACGATTTAAAATCAGGTGATGGTGAGGGTGCAGCAGTAGCTAATGGTGCAAGATTAGTAGCACTATAAAGACCTCCTAACCCTAAAAGAACATTTCTCCTATCAACAACATCGTCAACATTATTCTTCTCATGCTCGCTAGAGTTGTTATTAGCGTTGCATGAGACGTTGAAACTTTGACTACGCCTTCCGTGGAGGAAAACTTGAGAGGGTTTTGATAAGAAAGATGAGTTGGTATTGTTGGAGAAAGAAGAGGGAATATTGGTAGCACACAAAGATAGAATAGAAGAAGAAGCCATTGATGGGATGAGTGTTTTTTACTTTGCAGAGTTTCATCAGTATTTATATACAAAATTCATGGTATTGGTACCAAGTACAAACGTGAAAAACGCAGCTGAATTTTTTTTATTCGTTTTGTTTTTACTTTAATAATAATTATTTTTTAATATATATAACCAACACAATTCAAATTCAAATAACCGACAAATCTATTTCACCAACTCGTCATTGGAATTACAAACGAATTTAAGAACTAAATGAAATTGAAAAACACAAATAGAAGAAAGTGATAAGAAGCAGAACTCATAGAAAGAGAACGAAAGGAATAAACATTTTTCTCAATAATTTACATAAGTTGATCAATTTGCTCTCTCAAGTCGTATTTATCACCCCGGTTCCGAAACATAGTCTCTTAATTCGATGTTGGACCCATATCGGTCCTGGGTATAAGGAAATAATATTAACGATAAAATATGATTTTATTTTATTTTGGGATAATGTCCAAGTACCCCCTTAACCTATGCCCGAAATTTCAGAGACACACTTATACTATACTAAGATCCTATTACCCCCCTAAACTTATTTTATTAATAATATTTTACCCCTTTTCGACCTACGTGGCACTATCCTGTGGGCCCAACGATGGTTGACTTTTTTTTTCAAACTAGTGCCACGTAGGCTAATAAGGGGTAGAAAATTACTTATAAAATATGTTCAGGGGGGTAATAGGACCTTATTATAGTATAAGTGTGTCTCTGGAATTTCGGGCATAAATTGAGGGGGTACTTGTGCATTTTCCCTTTTATTTTTATGTTTTCCTTTGGATATATTTAAAGTAAAAATCTAAAATTAAATGGAGAGACTATAGAAACCACATTTATGTTGGAAAATTGTTCGGTTAATTCGATTTTAGTTTTCTAATAGTGGGATAGAGCAATAATCCGTTAAAATTGTAAATTAGTAAGTATTAATTTATGGGAAAATTATGTTATAAAATAAACTTATACTATTTAATTACTTATCTTAATTATAGTTTGATATAATTCATATTCGTGATTAACATTATACATTAATTACATGGGCTGACTTCGAGTTTGTACAATTAATCACGTTTGTATATATATAATCCGTCAAAATATATAAATACATATGTATAACATACATTATTTAACCTATATACATATACAATTTACTTCTCTCCCACTCTTTGCCCTCTCTCGCTCGCCTCTCTCCTCCCTTTCCCAATCTCGTTTGCCATATATATAAATGCATATGTATAATATACAATTATTTATATACAATTCACCTCTCTGCCCTCTCTCAGTCTCGCTCACTTCTCTCCTCCCTCTCCTAGTCTCGCTTGCCATATATACAAATACAAATGTATAATATATAATTATTTAAGTGATATACATATACATTTTACCTTTCTCCCATTCTTTTCCCCTTCTCTCTCGCCTCTCTCCTCTCTCATTCGTCTCTCTCCATATAACATGTAACTACGAATTATAATTATCAAACTATAGCTATGAAGAGTAAATAAGTTGTTTTTAAATGGCTATTTATGAAAGCCCCCATAATTTATCGATATTAAAAACCGTTTTGGAATAGTTTTGTATTTTATCTTTTTCTTGTTAGGTTAATAATTCAATTTCAATTTTAAACTTCTAGTCAATCATAAATTGATAATAATTTTAAACATGAATTGAGTTTTTTTTATTTGTATCTGTGTGTGTTTGTAACAAATTTTAAACACGTGAAAAATAAATAAATAATTCACAGAAATAAAATATGAAGAAACATAATTTTATTAATTAAGATTGTGAGTATTAATTTGTTCCTCCCTTGATTCTCCTCTCAAAAGATTCATCCACAAAAGATCTAATCATAATTCGAGGGCCGTTAGTGGTGTATTTCTCAAATTAAGATGATTTAGATTTGATCTCTCTATATGAATAATCCATCAATTTGCGGAGTATTCGAGATATGGAATTTTTGAGATGTCTTTTAAGAGAATTTAGTACCATTTATATAGGTATAAACTAAAGTTTAAAGTTTAGAGTTGAGTAGTCTCTAAGAATCCTAATATGAGTTAAACACAATTTGTTAAGTTCCAACTCGAATTGAACGCATCTTGTAGAGTCCCACAAAAATTTTAATGTCTTCAAATGCCCCTGCTTTAAGGCTTGTCGGAGTGTAGACTCGATGAAATCAAAGTACTCCTTCTTCCACCTTTGCAGCTTCAAGTTTCATATTTGATTAAAAAGAGAAAAGATGTAGACAATAAAATTCGCATCGAGAAAACAATAATCAAGTATGAAAAATTATAGCAACAATCGTCTTACTATTTCAAAGTGTCAGTGTTACAATCTCTAACATTCCTATGAATTCGTCTTTTCAAATATAATTCAAGGGTTTTAAAGCTTGATCTTAAACTTGGGATTTATCTTGATCTTGATCTCTATCTTGATCTTAAACTTGACTTGAACTTTATCTTGATGTTGAACATTATCTTAATCTTGACTTCTAGTTGAATCCAAGGATTTCGAACTTGATCTTGAATCCAGCAGTCTTGATCTTTATCGTTCTTGATCTTGATGGTTCTTGAAATTTTAATGCTTGAATTCTTGAACTTGTAGAGAAATCTGCAGTTTTTGATCCACGAGCTTTCTCGAGCTTCTTGTTAAAAGTCTTGGAGCCTATATATAGTTTTAGAATAGAGGAGTTGCAATTGCAGTAGAACTCCCTTCGGCTAATCAAATTTCAGTGACATGACATATGAATTTTATGGAGCGGACTTTAATTAAATTCACATTTATTGAATTTAAATATTAAATCAATTATATTAATTCATATTATTTATTTAGACTAATATATTTATTAATTTAATATAATTCAAATCATTTAATAAATTTTTAAATGATATAGTGTTATAAACGTGGGAAATGAATATGATTTTTATCTGCAAACAGGTCCAAAATTGAGGTGGTAGGTGGGTGAGGCCTGTAGAGATATTTTGAGGGAGATAATGTCAAATTAACTAATGTTAGAATTTTGTATTTTTTGTATACTTTAAAATTTGATAAAATTATTATGATATAATAATTAATAATTTAAAATATTTATTCCGTATTTAAAAAGTTATAACATAGAAAATATGCTTTCACTTTTCAAATATATATACATAACGATAAATAAATTGAAATTAAAAAAGTATTTAAAAACTAGATAAAATATAGTACTCCCTCCGTTTCCGAAAAAAAAATTAATTTTTTTTAGTCGTTTCAAAAAGAATGACATATTTCTTTTTTTGGCAAAACTGTTACTTTAAGTTTCCGCATGACATATTTAAGATCACAAGATTAAAGAATATTTTAATATATTTATCATAAATTTAATTTAGAATCACAAAATTAAAAAAAAATTATTTTCTTAAATTTCATTTTAAGTCAAACTAGATTTAATTTTTTATAACGAAGAACCTAATACTATTTATTGGAGTACAAAATGATAATTCAAAACATTTGCTTTATTGCACGCAAGACTACTATTTATTACAGATGGCAGTTATGTTTATATCACATGTGATATGTGTTTTGATATTGATAAAAGGCTTAAGTCATATGCGGCCCTTAAAGTTGTTCGCATAATTCACTTAGACACCGCAACTAAGACTATTACCTATTAGACACTTTAATATTAAAGAATATGTATCTATTGAACATAAAACGAAAATTTTTTTAAAAAATATTTTGCATGTAATTCACGCGCATTGACTTAAAAAAAATGACAAATAAAATTATGACACTTGGCACATGGACCCAATCTAGCAATAAAATATAACTTTTTTTAATTTAAAAATATGAAAAATAGTTTACCTTTATTTATTAATGGGAAAATGCACAAGTACCCCTCGACCTATGCCCGAAATCCCAGAGACACACTCATACTATACTAAGGTCCTATTACTTCCCTGAGCTTATTTTATAAGTAATTTTCTACCCCTTTTTAGCCTACGTGGCACTAGTTTGAAAAAAAAGTCAACCATCATTGGGCCCACAAGATAGTGTCACATAGGCTAAAAAGGTGTAAAAAATTATTAATAAAATAAGTTCAGGGGGTAATAGGACCTTAGTATAGTATAAGTGTGTCTCTGAGATTTCGGGCATAGGTTGAGGGGTACTTGGACATTATCCCTTTATTAATCACAAAAGTATTTATAAAAATCTCCTCCATCCCCACCTAACCCTTTGACCTTTCTTCTTCCTCTATCCATTCCTCTACCCAGTAACCCCGGCAGCCACCATAACAAAAATAAAAATCTCCCGTTCAAATTTAATCTTCTATCATCTGTTATTCTCCATTTGTTTTGAGATTTTTGTGAAAATAAATAAACGTTAATAAATTGTTTTTAAGATTCATGACCAAAAAAAATTGAAAGTATGTTGAATTTTTTAATATCATCTTTAATAAATTAATGAGTGGCGATGTTTGTTCAATCGGAGTGATCGAAATAGAGATATACGAATATCGATCAATTTTTAACTCCAATGTTCGAATTTTTCATCTTCTCACATATTAAATTAGCAGATTTTTTTTACAAAAAATGAAAGAAAAAAAAAATGAAACAAAATGCTAAGAATTTTGAAACCATTAGAATGCTGGGGGAAGAAGATAACCAGTGATGCTAAGAATTTTGAAATCATTAGAATGATGAGGAAGAAGATAACCATTGGTGCATGGGTATGGGGTTGGGGTTGATAGAAATAGGGAAGAAGAAGAACGGATCTTCTTTTTTGTTAATTATTTTTTAAAAAATTAACTTAGGGGTATAAATTAAGAAAAAAAAAAGGAAAAATATTTTTTTAATTAATTAAAGCGCTCAAGGAAAGTGAAATACACGTTTTTTGCCATGTCAGCATTTTGTGTCTAATAGAAATGACTTTTGAACAAATAAAGTGTTCAATTGGCATAAGGAATATTTGAGGTGTCTAAATAAATTATGCGGACAACTTTGAGTGGCTGGAGATGACTTAGGCCTTGATAAAAAGGGAAAAAGTTATATCACTTATCTTTGTTATTTAGAGTTTATATAATTTTTTAAGAAAATTAGCTTATATATATTTTTATTATTATATAATGACTTACATATAATATTTTTTTTAACAAAAGTGAAAAATTAATTTTAATTTTTAATTACTTTTAAATAAATGTCATTCATATGAGGTATATATAATCCTCCTTCTATGTTTTTTTTTACACTTTGTTATCTTAACGACTAATTTAAATTTATTATTTTCGTGGTCATATTCATTTATGTTTCACTAATTTTTTTGTAAAAATTTATCATGGCTACCCTAAAAAAAACTAAAAATACAAAAACTAAAAATCAATTTGTATCAGTCAAATACCAATTGAATTCATGTCATAGCACGAAAAAGTAGAAAGAAGTGAGTTTTTCCTATAGTCCTATAGCCTATCGAAG